CATCATACTGTACAAGTAATTACAAGTAATACATCTGACCCCCCCCGTATTTTTTCAGTAAATTAAGAGGTCATCAGTGTGAAGTAAGACTTTACCTCTTGCCTCTTAGAGTTGCTACATGAAAGAAAACTGATGGTTAATGACTGTGAAGCATAGCTAGTTAATTCTTTCTCTTCCCCACCTACACATAATGAAACAGTGACATTTGATTTCTTGAAAGTATGTCCTTTCTCTAACCCTGCTCCTGTCTTGTTTTCTGTATTTCCCAGAGTGCAGCCTTGTGAGTTGCTGTAATGTCTATCAGTATAAGTCACACTGAAAGACCAAGGCTCTGATGGCTAACGTTAATAACATAAATTGAAGAGAAACATGAGATACACAGACAAATTTTAGAGATCCCATTGCCCAAGTGGAGGGGAGCCTCTAATCTCAAGGCTGCCATCTCCAAATGAATTTTCGGATTAGCTGCTTAGCTCTTTTTTTCATAGATTTTTGTAGTTTCAACTAGGATGGTAGTTGTATTTCTTTAAGGAAAATGAAGTGTTTGCCTAGATATTGCATACTGACAAAGCAAAACACACTTGCTGAGGTGGGAGGGTGCAGAAGGAGTATAGCGTATTAACACCACGCTCAGCTCTCTTTGCCTTTCCCATTCAAATAGCCCAAGTTAAGGGCAGCCTCACCTTGACATGTACAAGAGTCCTGACATGCCTGTTTTCAACCTATTATTTGTAATTACCTCTGTCCAGGCTAGATTTGTCTTAGGATTTGTGGATGACTAATAAATTCTTATTCATCAGTTGGGTTAATAGCAGGAGAGGACATTTATATTTCTTGCTTATGGTAAAAAAGTGTTGGTAGCCCACTTATATTGCAAAAATTATAAAGTCAATTCTAAACCTGTTTTAAGCTAGGAGGAATGATTTACAAACCTTAGGCAGGGAATAACGGCTAGGCATTAACAACAGTGGGGTGATCCTAATATGTTGATGCTTCATTAATAGCTTCACAGTGAGGAACATGAATTTCTGCCTGTCTGTAAAATCAGGGTGTGCTTTCTACCCAAAAAAGCAGTCAAGTTTAAACGGTCATTTCAACTAGTAGGTCTGCGAATACTGCTGTTGCACTTCATGTTCCCATCTTGAAGTCTGGAGAGCTTCAAGTACAACTGGCACAGACACTCATAAGATCAAGGTCAAACTGTCTACATAATAAATTATAGAAAGTAGTAATTCACCCACAGATGTGGTGGCAGAGATGAATAATCCTCATGCAGTTTGTCTATACATCTGGGTATTTGAAAGACTTAATTACAACACAGTGAATCCTGCATAAAGTATTCCTCTCAGAGGTCTTTAAGGGACGGTTCAACACTGTGTATTGCCTCTATGCTTTATACCTTCACCGGGGGGTTATAAATGACAGTTTTCCAGGTTTGCTGCTTTCAGGGTGATGCAAGAAAAGAGCTAATTTTACTCAACTGGGAGTAAATAAGTAGATAGTTCAGTCCATTTTAGTTTTTGCTACCTCTAAAGTTAGTTTCTGTAGCTGGTGGCTAAAGTCTGACATGTAAAGTCTTTTTGCAGAGCCTGCCTTTAAAAACAGAATTAACATGCAGTTTTTGAGAAGTTCACTGCTGGCAGAATAGTTCTACTGAAGTTGAAAAGCATTTTACCTATTGATAAATAGGTATTGATTACTATGGTACGAATTTCTGAAAATCTACTTTGACTCTATTAGGAATGTTTCTAAATACTTACCCACCAATATAGTGTTTACAGTAGCATGTAGCAAAATTCACCTTTTGACAGAGTTACCATTTATTCATCATGAGAGGTAGGTGAACATCATACAAATTACTTATATATTTTTCTTGAATAATAATTCAAAGCAGATTTGGACCTCAGATTACACTGATATTCATGGCTTGCATGTACCTTCACTAAAATTTTGGAAAAATGTTGATGTAAAAGTAAGTTTAAGTTTAATGAAATGATTATTGGGCATTGAATGGAAAGAGAACTTTGAGAAGATAAAGTCAAAGTCTGTCTTGCAAACTTTCAAAGGTAGTCCCAGATATCTTCAAGTCAGGCCCACATTCTGTAAGAATTCCTAAATTTCTGTCAGTGGAACTACTGACAGTGAAATATTTGCCATCAGTCTGTAGAACAACAGGTAATTGTTGACATGATTTGAATTGGATTTTACTTCAGAGTAGATTACCAATGATAGTTTCATATAAATGGAGGCATGCATTCAAAGCTCACGGATGTCCACAAGACTTACATGTTTTCTGAGCCCTTTGTGTGGTCGCTTACGATTAGAAAAAGAAGATAAATTCAATAACTTGTTTGTTTGCTGTTCCCCATTGATCTTTTGAAACAAAGAAAGCTTTTGATGCATGATATACCCAGTTTTCAAAAAGCCAGCTTTATGGAAGAGGTTCAGGTAGAACTCATATCTAGGTACTGGACTGGGGTTGAGAAAGTGTTTGAAAGAAGTATTCCCGAAGGCTATAATTTGCTTGGCAGGGATTAGTGCTTGTATGGAGGGCACCTTTTTCTTTGCACCTTTGAGTCTCTAGGATTTGGTACTTACCCCTAAGCATTGGCACCTAAGATGTGTGAGAGATACGAAGTGAGAGCCTGGAAGCTTGTAGTGATGCATGATTAGGATTTTTTTACTAGCATTCTGATATTAACCTCAATACTTTCGATGCGTCAGTTACAGTTTTAGATTTGCGGTTCTGAATAGATTTGTTTGCAAAATAAAAATGAGCGATGTATTTGTCTGATGGATGAGATGAGAGCTGTCCGATCTTTGTTTTCACATGCAAGCTAATTTGTGACACAGATGTGGACACAGCTCTGGAGTGGTTCTAATCCCTATAGTTTAAATAAAATATTAACGATAATCTTTATTCTTATCGCAGTTCTGTTGTGTTATAACTATGTAGTATTTCATCATCACTTTAAAGGATTAGGCTAAAATATACCAGTCTTTTATTTGATGAGATTTGGCCATATAGTGCAAATATGGCTTAGATGGACATATTATTTACATGAAAAAAATTATGAAGGGAAAAGAAAATGTGATTTAAAGCATAGTGAAGTGGGCAGGTGGACTCTTCAGTTTTTCAGTTGACTTATTAAGACATACATAACAGAAATGCAACAAAATTATTTTTATTATTACAAAGTGCACAACAGACGATACAGGTGTTTACAGATCTATTTTGAAAACATATCTTTTTCCATACTCTTTTACTACAAGCTACTCTGTTTTGCAATTTTAATTCAGATTTCTCTCATCCAGAATGGAATCATTCCTGATACGAATAATACCCTTAGTATTAACTGAAGTTAACTTATGTTTAAAACTGAAATGAGTGAGAGACAATTTGATTTACCTGTTACTTTACGGCTTTTAAAATGTCACTAGACCAAAGAAAATGTCCGTACGGATTAATGTTATAAATAATATTGTTAAAAGAACTAACATCTTTCAGTAAAAAAGCTAAAAATGAAATAAGTTAAAATATCTATTATAAGAGACATCCAGAGTAACAGACAAATTCCCTTTAAATAGACATGTCTGTAAGGGTCTCAAGCAGATATGCCAGGTGACCTCAAGAGGTCATCTACTTCATTCCCTTGCCTCATGGCAAATTAACTGTCGTTCCGAACAGGTTCAATGTGTTCTTGAAGACCTGTAGTGGTCACTACTCCATAGACCCCACTCTCTTCCTTCCTTCCTTCCCCAGCCCCCTGACAATTTATTTAGTGTCTAGCTGTCTGTACCTTTTGGAAGATCTGCTAGTGACCACTCTGAATCTTTCATTAGTTGTTCTGTTCACTATGAACATGGAGAACTGACTGTTCCTTTTCTCTTTGTAACAGTCTTCAAGCATGTAAAAGGTTCCACTAATTTCTGCCTCCTGTGTTACCTCCCATAAGCAAAACAACCACTTAAGTTTGTTCTCCTAAGCTGTTTTTCAGGCCTCTCTCCGTTCTTATTACTCTTCTGTGGATTTCCTCCAATTTTTCAATGCCTTGAAGTTCTGTGTCCAAAGCTGGAAACTCAGCTGAGTCCCTTACCATGTTGAACTGAGTGGTGGAAAGTAGGTTATGTCTTGTAGGCTCTACTCCGTACATTCCCACTTTTCCGCAGTGGTGTGATACTGTTGAGTCATCCTTAGCTTGTACAACC